AAATCAGTGTTATATATATATATATATATATATATATATATATATATATATATATATATATAACCGTTTGTTACAGATTTCCAGTCAGTTATATGGAACACTGCATCACAGACTTTACGCACACAAATCTTACCATCGTTATCAAAACTCCACTGAAGTACACGTTTGCTGAAGTCGAGCAAAGAAACTAGCTGGTATCTGCGAACACGAGTATCTCAATAGTAATAATCTACCGGCGTGTACAACCATCCTCACGCTGAGAAGGTCCTACTTTACTGTCTTCTAGTTGCCTTCCTCCCTCCGTCATTCAGGCAGCCCTAAGCCGCGTCGCGAGTACGCTCATCGCTAATTACCACGTTTTCACTGGGCTCTAATTACCTCAATTTTTAGCATTTTAAGAAGCTGCTACTGTTCTTTTGCATAGCTTCAATTGTGAGTATTCTATTTCTCCGCACTCCACGTTGTCATGAGTCCTACTACGCCATCCGCAACGAAACGGCTGATAAACATTTCAGCCGAAGTCGCACTATGTTCGAGCTTTTTCTGACACCTCCTTTACCCTCAATATACCCTTCTCTGCGTGAGCGTGCTACAAAACAATTGCCCTACTTCTTGTGGTAGACACCTCAGTTTTGCGTTTATTCCATTAAAATTAAGAGTAGCTATCCTGCCAGATCCGCTGATAGAGAACTGAGCTCATTGCCGCTTTTCCACTTGCTGCGCGATCCGGTTGCTTTATCTCAAACCCTTGTCCGACGTATTCGAGGGTTTAGAACGAAAACTGTTGGGATATTACTCAGTGTCCCGACGCGGATATTGCCAGGGTTGCCGAAACTAGGGGATAGGTTGCGAAATGGGGTGCACAGCAGGCGGAGACAACCGCACTGTAGGTAACATCAACAGCAGCGGTGTGTCAAGAGAAGTTGGGGTGCCAACGCTTTCCAACGATGGCGACGGCAACAGGCGTCAACAACAACAACAACGTTGGCGTCGCAGAGGATATTAAAAGTTACCACTGACTTGTGTCATGCAGACACGTCGAGTGCTTGTCTTTGTCTCAGTCAAAAGCTACTACTTTCTTCATTCTCGCTGTCTATCCCTCCCTCCCTCCCTCCCTCCTGTTCGGGCTCATTCTTGGTGTTTGACGCAAGAAGCCACTGCGGTATTTCTAAGCGCTATCCGATGCTTTCCCTTTTTCCTCATCATTCATTGTTGTTCTCTGTCAGCTCTACAACGTCCCTATCCTGAATCCTTCTCGACAGCTTCCTCGTAGTTGTGCTCCTGGTGTGCCATGACGGTGGCAGCTTGCCATTATCATCAACAGCGCCTAGAAGGTTGTCGTTTACTGTCCATAAAAGGATGGCGTTCGTATTAGACCGTACGTGGCAGGTCGTTCGATCAGCCATTCTACGAGCCGGTTGTTCGAACACTGTGCCAACGGTTTTAGTAACTAAAGCACCGGCGATAAGCTGGTGTAAACGCCAGGCGAGATGGTTGCGCTGAAGTCGTCAGCCGGCGCAACAGCGGAACGTCTGCTTGCGAAAGCGGCGTGCACCGTGTATGTTACTGTTACTAACTCCAGGTTAGCTGCGAGTGCAAGAGTGATTAGATGTTTGTTGTGTACGATCCTATTAATGGATGTTATTAGTGTTATTGTTTCGCACAGGCGCCAGTAAGCGTCAACATTGCCATGTTGCAAGCAGAACTGCTCAGTGGTTTCTCCTAGGTTTTAGCGAGCTTTGCCTACAACCAAAAGCGGGAGAATAACGTCGAAGCTGCTTGCCGTTGTGTTAACATTCTGCTCATCTAGAACGACTGCACCTGAAGATGAGGAGTGGCAAGTGCCTGCATGACTAATAACCTAAGATCATATCTTCCATATGAATACACTGTTGATTGTTGGAAAAAACACATCGCACTCACCAATAAGCAGCGGGGTTTGCGGCGGTCAGCCATACACCTGTGACAAAATAGGCACACGAGATTAAGAAATAAGACAGGACAGAAGGTAATTTTCTGTTGCCTATAAGCCACGAATAAGATGACCGACTGGAAAAACAGTTATGAAATTGTATGGACCGGCGTAGAGAAAAAATGATGTCGGCTTCAGCAGCCAGGGCTATTTGGCTTTTCGAATATCCCGCATTTGATCGATTAGCCATTACTTTGAACGGCTGGCTTCTGCTAGTCCGAAACGAAGTTCGTCGACGCCCGGATTCAAACCTAAGTGTCTTTAAACTGAGCAGGGGAACACGTTACAAGCTGCGCCATCACGGGGCTATCCACGAATCCTACCCAGTCATATGACAATGACCATAGCACCAGTGATAACGGAAAGAAGTCGGCTATGGCCAAATGCACCTGCGTGTGACTGCTGCGTCAACGGAGGTCTGACTCTACATGCCCTGTATAATAGGACGCTGACTTAGTACACATAAAGCACTTCACATTTAAGGATCCAACTGGATAAGCGTTTTAACGTTTCAGGTCATTGTGTCTATTTCAGTTCTGTTCACTTCGTATTGTTGCACATGGCTGAGCTCCAATAAAATTGCATTTTGCATTATTACTGTATCTTTGTTACACACGAATTTACGTCAAAATTGGGCACCTTTCAAATCCACTTGAAAATGAACACTATGATTCTATTAGGTTAAAACGTATAAAAGTATTCCTCAAAAGCGATACAGGTTCTATGTACATGGTAGTTCGTGACCGCAAAGATCAGATTAACCCGATATAGCGCATCTGCAATCAATGCTTACGATACCTATTCTCGCCTACTCACTTCATTAAACTATATGTGGCTTGGGGCACCCAAGGCCAAATTTCTGGAAGTTGATGAAGCAACAAAAGGGCCTAGTATATTGAGTTTGGCGGTCGCCGGTCTTCCATAGCTTTAGCTTCTCGTGGCGTCTGCAAGTGGAAAAAACCGTCAACTGAGCCAGTTAGACGTAAATCTTTACTGCTCCATTGCACATCTCACTTTACGCAGCCACGTATAAGACTGTCATATCGTGGTGCTGTTGTACGAGATCCAACATACCAATAGACTTGTTCTTGTCGCTTCGTTAGCTCATCAGTCAGTCTCCTCAGATGTTAGGAACTCGAACGCAGCTCTTTTCGTCTCTCTTTCTAGCTCCACCTTACCGTACGGCTGCCCGTCAACGACGAGAGTGTCATCTGCTTTTTCATCTTACTATTCATTTATTTCTACTGTGGGATATACAAAAGCAAAGCCGAATTTTTGAGCAGAGAAAACAGCGTCCTGGCAAGCCGTAACCACCGCTAGTGACCCAGCCCCTCCGGCACCCGACAGGATGTTCCGGTAAGCAGACTACGGCCGTGCTGGCGGCCCTTGAGGGAGGATGAAGACGTGATCTGCGTCTTTATGAACCAGCTGAACAACGAGGAAGGATGAAGACCACGGATCCGACCTTCCAGCGGTGAGTCAACGACAATAGACTCTCGGCTACCCTCAGTTTACACCGCACATGCGACATCTCGGCATCACAACGGCTGCCCAGTGAACCGTTGGCGGTCATCGGCTCGATCGCTACCGCCAGTCCCATCCACAGTATTGATATAGCATTGTGGCAAGGAACGTTGCCTGCTGAGCTGTCAACCACACGCTTCCAGCAGCTCCTACTCAGCCCCTGCCAGCAGCGCTCCTGTGCTAGTGCTTCTGCTATTTTTGCTCAGAGTTCCGCTTGCTGCACTTCATGACCAAAGGCTTCGGACTTTAAGGATCGTAGATCTATAGACGGCCAAACATTTCCTGTCTTTCCGATTCGGACAAAGATTTCAGATTTAACCCCGTTTTTACCCCCTATACACGTCGTTACCTCATATATTAGGTGACGACGTGTATATATATATGCATATATATGCATATATGAGAGAGAGCGACGGCTTAGACGGTAAAAAAAGCCTGGCTAAGTAAAGAGGCATTATTTTATTCAGGCATCGCCATCAAACGCACACCTACTAAACGATGACTACGAAGAAATGCATAAGTCAGTTATACAAGTGCATCTTTTTCGTGTTAACGGGTAATTCAAGTTTGAAATCATCTGGGCCTTGTTTTTAGAATAGTTGTACAGTCAGTTTCTATCAGGAAGTCATCTTTTGCCGTACGATTTCATTACACTTAGTAATTCATTCGAAATTAGCTTTGTGCCAGTTTTCAAACTACATAAATATCAACACAGCACTAGGATCCAATAGATACTGTGGATCTGTCACGTCGTCCTCTCTGAACACACCGTGTCGTATTGCCTGGCAGGCACAATAACATAGAATTTGCCTGCTCGTTTAGCGAGCAGATGGTGATTTTTGGAACAGTGTAGGCTTCCGGTCGCTGATAAAGTCGCTGCAACGACAGCGTCGCGTTGACCTCGCGTATCGGGATCCGACTATACCTAAAATTAAGTAGTTAACCCTCGTGCTCGATCTAACCTTGTCATTCGAAAACGCTAAGCGTCACTTCTATTCCCTTAACGAATTCCCTTCCACTTCTATTCCCTTATAAACGAATCGAACTTGTAAAGAAGCTTCGAACAATGGATTCGCAGCAAAAAGAATATATTGGATATAATTTTCTTTTTCATTTCTCACTATACAACAATCAGATACTACTTGCATCGAACCTGTAACTATACCTAAACGTCCTTGATGATCCTAATGGCCTTTAGCTGGACCGCCAGCCGGTGAGTTGTGCGAGCCATCGCCCGTTCCCTTAATCGCTTCTTGCAGTCGCTGCCTTGTCTTGTCTGCACACTATTCCGTTACGATAGGTGATAAGGTTTTTCAGATTATTAAGGGTTCAGTGTGCAAATGCACGGAAAAGCCGAACCACCGTCTGCCATTTCTAGACTAATATGTACCAACAAGTAAACAGTAACCACTGTTATTAATGGCTTTGGTAACCACAATATTATTGTCATTATTTAATTAAAGGTGTTCGTTTTTTCAAGTATCAAATAAATATCTGAATAGCTCTGATTTGCTTTTTTACACATCCGCAATATTTTTTAGAACAGCATTTTGGCTTTATTTAATTCTGATATTATACTAAGTTTACATTGGATTACAAATCGAGCGTCCGCTAGCGTTCTCTCCTGTAAAGTTATTTTTTTCCGGGTTTTGCGTTATCACCAAACATCACTGTATCATTTAACTGCGTGCAAATTAGGACTCCTTGTTATATATTTTCAATGTTATTATTATTATTATAAGTATTGTCCGATTTCCACAAACTTATGAGAATATGAAAAAGTTCTCGAAATTCGCTATTCGTAATAAAAATAAAGAATATATATATATATATAAAACGTTCAATAATCATAGTTAAAAAAAATATAATTAGAAAAAAAAAAAACAAATTTGAAACCCGTCTTGTAAAAATCCGTCCGCCATTTTCCTTCTAACGCGATAAACGGTAAACACGATAAACAGCAAAATATTTTTACTGTTTCAGGTTAATCCAGCCAAATAAATAAAAAATGTTCACCATCTGTCTGTTTTCGAGTGGAGCGTGTTTGCAAATTAAGCAATGACTCAAGCCTGAAAAATTGAAACGACCGCTGAGCCTCAAAAGGGAAAGACCGATTCGTACGCGCCATGCCCGAGGTACTTTCGGAGCATGTAAGGTTGATTGTAATTGGCTATTAGACCTGCTAGCCTTGTCATCCAGGATTCTCTTGTTATAAACTGCCATTTCAGTCGCACGGATCGAACGTGATCAACTTTAAGTAGTAGAGGTAGTTATAATGATAAGGTCAACTGTAGTTATTTTATACTGTTGGCGACCTTGTAGTTCTTTGATGTCCTCGCCGTTTGCACTTTGATTGATTGCACCGAGTAAGAATGGTTAGGAGAGTTCGAAGGCTTTGAGCCAGCGTACGCAGCCTAAGTGCCTTGACGCATTGAGGTATTTGAAAAAATTGAGGAGCTTGGATGGTCAGTCGTTCATGATCACTTGAGGAACCTAGGCCGTTCGGTGTATCTAATGTATCTGGGTCACCTGGGGTTCCAATGCCGTTTCATGGCTCTTTGATGTGCTTGCAATCCTTGAAGTGCCATAACCGTTTGGACTGTCTGGGTTTTTAGAAGGTATGCAGTTTTTCGAAGAGCTGCCCTTTGTTGAGGCGCTACCGTCTTTCAAAGTGTTACGGCCTTTTGTGTTATTACGGCCTGTTGAGATGCTATTGTTCCTCGAAAGATTTGACCCGTTTAAGTCGACTGTGCCATCTGGGGTGCTTGAGTGGCTTGGAATGTCTAGATCTGCGGATTTGTTTAGCCAGACTGAGGGACATGATGTATTGGATAGCTCTTTAGAGGCAGACTCATCGGTAAATGGTGAAAAATCCTTTTTAGAACAAATAATCATTGTGCGAACTAAAGGCCAGTCGTATTCGTGGCACTTTATAAGCTCCCATACATCTTTATATGACCAGCCTGATTTGTGAGCCCAGAAGCGAACTTTGTACGTAAAGATCGCACTTTCCGTCAAGTTGACCTTTGCGACTTCTAAATCGACGTCCCAAGAAACGTCATTTAAAACTTGCAGCATATGTGATTCATCCATACCGAATTGAAGCGCCAAAATCCTGACTAGAAGCTTATTCTCTTTACGTTGCATCTCAACAGTTTTACCTGTAATCGGTAACAGAACACATCGTTGCGTTTCTGACACGTCTACGAGTGATATTTTACATTTGCCAGAGGCTAGAGCTTCCTGACTAATGCCCCCTCTAAAACCCTATTGTTCGTGGGACAATAAGAGCGCATATATAACAATACTGGTAGTGAATGTAATGCGCTGGTGAATTAGCTACGCTATGAGTTAATATTATTATATTAACAAATCCTTTAATATCAATATGGAGATCAGCTCATGTGCAGAAACAGATTTGTTTATACTTAGTACCCTTGAATAAAATATAAATATTCGGTGCAAGCACGAAGCCAAAGTATGCTTCGTCAACATTTTATCACTATAGGCAATTAAAAATGATTTAATATACTCCAATATATTTTAAAAAATGTGCCGCAGAATTGTTAGAAATCGAACAGAATACATCGCTCAGAGATAGTTCAAGCTAACAATCAATGACGAACGCCACCATGTAAAAATAGTAACTGATTGGGCTTCTGCGCTTGAGCAATTTCTTCTAGTGTTTCGTATTTTTCCTATATTTAGCACGTACCTATTCTTAAGCCAAAAAAAAACCTATATGTTATTTCAAAGTCTCATAATCTCCTTGGTGTATAAAATGCGCCCAGATAATGAATGAATGGATTAAAAGCATCATCTGTAGTCGACATTGTGTCAATTTTGACATTTATCAGTGGAGAATTATTTTATTAAAATTAGCTTAATCCATAGAAACTGTATTTATATTCAGCAACTTATTTTTCTTTTCTGTTTTGTTGTTTCAGAGTGTAGGACCCTTTTACGAAGATGATACGTAAAGGTGCTCCAGTGAAAAGCAAACTCGGTAACCAGAGCACTATTTAAGGGGTATACCTGCGGGATAATCAGAGGAATCTAGCTCTCTTTGTTAACTTGGCTACCTAAGTAATTATTTATTCCCAGTAGCGCAGAGCAAGGTTCTGGTAAACAGTTACTCGAACTTCCTACATTAATAAGTTGAATATCTAAATACGAATTGCCTTTAAGTCTTTATACTAAAAAGTTACTCATTGCTGAAGGAAAACAGAAATCGTAGCGAACTATGCGATCATCAGTTTGACCATAGTCATTTATTTATGGAATATTATTCTGGGCGTACTTCGAAGTAACGTTTCTATAATAAGTGAAACTTGCGATGATTAATATCACAGTATATATATATATATATATAAGCTGCTGTACTATTTGGCATCTTCTTCATGCATGAAGGGCACATGAACACATAGCAAAGTATAAGATCGCGTCGACCTGGAATGATTTCTTATTTGAACGGTATCCAGAATCAATATTATCAAAATAACCGTATTGGCTTAAGCCTACCTGAGGGGCGAGGAATAGATTGCTTAAAATTACGGCTAAGAAAACAATCATTTGTTCCCTGGATTTACGGTCTTTAATTTTACAGTTTTTTGAAAAATAATTGTTCTTATATAAACTCAATATTTATTATAATTATCAACGCGATTCATCAATGATATATATGTGTCTGTGTGTATCTGCGCGTGTGTGTGTGCGTGTATGTACGCATGTATATATGTAAATGTGCGTGTGTATGTATGTATGTATGTATGTATGTAAATATGTGTGTGTGTGTGTGTGTGTGTATGTATGCATGTATGTAGATGTGTATGCGTGTATGAATGTGTGTCTGTGTGTATGTATGAGTGAATGTAAGTGTGTGTGTCTGTGTGTTTGTATGGATGTTAATGTGTGGGTGTGTGCGTGTGATTATGTGTATCAGTGCTGAAGATTTACAGAACAGTCTAAATGTTTCCATTTGGTATTCGCCTTGGACGAATGCGTCTTACCTGGGTTAATTACTTTAAGTGAACGTTTATCACTCTTAGTCGTGACCATGATGTTAATTCTGCACAAGCGCGATTTTTTCACAAATTTGCTAAGCCAGTTTGTGTATTGCAGCCTTTTTTTACACCTGTGTGTTTGCTGCGCCATCATTTCGAATATCAGATGTTCTTCGCTGTCGGTAAAAGGCGACCTTTGCCTAGAACGGTGCAAACAACATCGCCAGTTGCACGCATAAGGATCAATGAACATCATATGCATTCTTAGCTGCCGATCGTCATCGACAAGGAGGTCTTTAGCTTTCTGGATACACGTGAGTCTGTCGAGTTCGAAAATACGCCGCTCTGAGTTTTAGCAAACTATTAGACTCAACAAAATTACTATTAGCAAAAGGCTATAGATTCAATTGATGAAGAAGCGGCGATGTAGATGCTAACCTCGAAGGTGGACATCATCATGTTTTTTGTTCCTGTTTTTTTGTTTTGCGACTTTTGTTCCCTCGTTACCCCCAACCCGTAACATTTTTATATGTACAGCAGCATTGAAAAGAATACAATATTTAAAAAAAAAAAATAAAATAAACGTGCGTATAAATAATCAGCAGTGTTATTTACTTCGCCGTTGTAAAGCCAAACTGCTTTCTATGTGCCTTATTGGAACTAGACCGGATTTTCCCAAATTCATTTCTGTAAATGTCTATCTTTTTTGTGTGATTCTGAGACGTGTGTTCTAATCGTATCGATTTGCTACGCAGTTCGTCGCACAGGTATTCATCGTTACGAAAACAAGATAACCAGAAGTTCACAGGGAAATACTTAATTCCTTTATGAGGTTTATGAGCTGTCAACTAAGGTAAAAAGAGCCCCTGCTGACTGCTTACTATATACTTAGTACTAATTGCTATACTATAGTTTGAGATCGGATATTATTTTTCCTAAACATACTATATGCTAATACTCTCTTAAGGCATAGATAGTATATACTATATCAGCAACATGATTTTTGTGTAGGCCTTGACAGTCAGAGTAATAGGTATAATTTTATAATGGGCGGCTATAGTACAAGAAAAAGGGATGAAAATTGACGTATTTTTGGATAACGTCTAGTCTACGCATGCAAAATATAAGTAAAAAAAAGAAAAAGTAGAAAGTTTAAGCTAAGACGAACGCTACTTTTTTTGCTAAGGAAGTTATTTTCTTTGCCTGATTGTCAACGTTTCATTGATCTTTTTTAACTGACCCCCTTTCCAGTGCGTTCCCCCTGAAGAATACGTATAGATCTACTCCTAAATGCGTTTATCTACTTCATACTACAAATTGAATATCACGCTTTTAATTCAGGCGTGTTTCCTCTCAGTACTGCTACTTTAAAGCACCTAATATGACTATCAGCAGATTACTGTTATTCGATATTTCTTATCTATGCATTCGTCTCTGCCAAAGCCTGCCCACACACAATTTGATCGCTGAAGGTGCGGAAGCCGTGGAGACAGCCCAATTTCCAGTAAGGTCGTGGTGGTATCGTTAGAAAAGGCGACGCAGCTCCGAAAAGGTCGACAGTCAGGTCAAACCAAGACCTGTGGACATGAACAGCTCTTAGTGTACTTATGCGACGCTGTTAACTTTGCATGCGTTCAGCCGCACCCAAGTAACCAGCTAAATGCCGATAGACAAGACTAACCTTAAGCTTCACACGCAAATATTTTACAAGTATGGATTCAGTTTCTTGAATAGTACCATATTTGCTAAATGGCTCATTCATTGTGAAATTTTAACTTACTGGTCAGTAAATGGCGACTTGATGATAAGTGGTTAGCGGCCTAGGTTTATCCTAAAGTAAATATGGATTTATAGTTTGAAATAGTTTCTTAGGCCACTTTCTGATAAGACTGAATACCTAGCTCTTTTGCGTTCTATCTTAGAGCTGAACACTTTCGCTTTGGTATTTCTGTTGTTACTTGACACTGGCCTAGAGGCGTTCGCACAGAGTGTCAGACCACCCGAAAATCTTTGTGGGATCAATAAGCTAAGCTGTAAACGCGTCAGACGAAGGACACATTTGCACTTCCTAGGCGTCTAGGTTGTTCTGACGACGAAAAACAGCTGACTCTGCAAGCACGTTCGGTGTAAACTTCACTTTGGAACTTCATGAAATAGACTGCAATCATGAAGGAATCGTGCTTAGAATGTTGGATCATTTGTTCATGTAAGAAAAAAACAATATAAATAACCTATCGCTGAGAAGCTGAATAGTGCTGCTTCTTTCGATTGCACAATTGGACCGTACGTTCACTTATACTGTGCCGTAGCATTGGGTCGGGCTGATGAAACAATTGCTATTGGGCTGTTTCGTAATAGATATACTGTTAAATCGGCATTGAAAATTCGATCTATTCAAGACATTGTCAAATTGCATTTATCGGTAACATTAACATACATATTATCCATTGCACCGAGTGTTTCCACCTGCCAGTGAAGGCACACGGCTAAGATGCACGTGACTATTATAACGTCGGTATAAACTCTTCGTTTCCACGGAAACACTTCGTTTTCCACGGTACATACAGTAACCTTCATAATGTATAATAATCTACACATTAAGTTAGTAATGCATGTTTATAAAGGCGGTCAGGGTTAATTTATTTTTATCATTAATAATAGCAAAAGTCTTATATATACATGAATTTATAAAAATTAAAAGAAAAATCTGGAATCGTTTCTAGACTACGGGAAGATTAGGCGTTAGAGATCGAATGCTGTTCAACCTTTATATATGAACTTAAATAGTGTGTATTATAACAAGATAGGCGAAATAGACGCAAATAGACGAAGTAAACACAATTAGGCACAAAAACACTTATTGAAATGTGTAACATTTGTGTAAAAACTGTTTGTTCAGATAATTATGAAACGCATCTCCACGACATTTTTACTCTGTACCGTCATTTCCACACCACAGCACGATCTATTACAAACACTTACCGCCATTAGCGGGTTGGCTGGCACGTGAGCATGCCAATGCTTACTTCATAAGAACATCACGCTGCAGCCAATCGAAAAGTCGTTAGACTCGTGTGCAAACGAGGAAATTATATACGTATTGCTTGGTACACAAGCAAGGACCGTATTGACATAGTTAAAACTTCCGCAGCTAATCCTAATTGCCAGTTACTTGGATCTTAAATGGTGCATTTGACGAACAGCATCTGCGCGGAAAGCTTTGTTTACGACAAGTTACTTTGTGCTACGTTAGGTGTACTTAAAACAGCCTAAGTCTGGTATGGAGACGAAGTCCCATGGCAGTTCGTAGGAAGTGCGCAGGATTCGTAAAAATATTCGTAAAATATATAGTTATGTTCCCTTAATTTTAGGATTATCGGAAATTAAGCTAAACCGAGCGCCTTTTAAAGGCAATTGATTTGTGTTTCATTGAAGTAATCGGCGTTTGTCACTGTAGATAGGCATGCTTATCCTGTGGAAACGCTTCATCATATGCTGATATGGAAAATTTACGCCTATTTGTGTACATATATTTTGTTGATACCAGCGAAAGCAATCGCGCAGCCTTAAAAATAGGTCCTAATCAGTAAAAATCCTGAAAAAATATTAAACAATAATAGAAGTGCTCATTAATTATTATTATTATCACTCTTATCGATTAATACAAGTGAATGGTATATTGCATTAAGGTAGGTAATACATTGTTATTATAATACAAGTATAAACGCGACACAAAACTTAGCGAAAGCATTTGTTCCTATATAGCCCTGGTGTTATGTTTACAATATACTCTTTCGGAATTTAAACCGTCCTTCTTCTACAAGCTCCCATACGAAAATCTTGTCTATCTTCCATATATACATGGTTTTAGCAATAATGTAATATTCAAAACACATCACGTTCTTTTCCCAGCTTCCAGATCGCGATAAATGATAGTCTACGCTTATTTTGCGTGCCATTATGAACCAGTGTCTCCGATCGAACCGAGTTTTCTATCAATTCGCTCGTTCACTCAAATATACACTTGAGCAGAACGCTCCAACTAATTGATCGCGTACGCGATTCTACTTCTCAGTCCCTCAAGCTTCTTCAGTAACCTTTCAGCCCCCTGCTTTGTTCCGAGTAGTACCTGAGAATAGTTGCTGGCAACATCAAGAGCAGTAATAGCGGCGGGGGTGCCGTGCGCTGCAGGCGTGCTTGGGCTAACTGGGGTGAAACGAATGATAAGTCAAACGTCAGAAAATCGGTCTGGCTGAGAAGAGGCGGGTAACTAGCTAGCCAAGAGGCGAGGTAAGCGGAGCGCAATAAAAAACTAGACGAGCTCTAGCTACCGACTGACGGCAGCAGCTACAGTAACCGGCAAAACGCAGTCCCGATAAAACTAATTGAGTTGCCACTCTTCTTCCGGAAGTTTTCCTCAGGAAACGATAACTGCCGACTCAAAGGGGCTAGGGCTAGCTGACTGTGTCTAGTAGGTGGGTGAGTCTAGAAAAGCGCTAGCAGAAGCGATTTGGTCTCCTGCGACTGAAATTGGAATTGCGGAAGCTGCCGTTCTTGCGCGGCCTGCCGTTTCTGCAGGGCATGTCTGTCTTTTTCGGGGATAATACGGACACCTCTAACTTTTTTTGGTCAACAGTCTACACCAATATTTGTGACTGTAAGGCGGCTGGCCAAGAAACGTTGTAAGGAGGACACAAAAAATGGTTTAATATCGGGGCCGTCAAGATAAAGGGTGACATTTCCAGATTTGCCATTTTTGTCATGTTACTTCAAGTTGAACATTTAATAGGTATGGACAACAAGAAACTTTGATATATAACCGATTGTGATCGCTATCGACCGGAAGGGGTATGTGATATGGGTCCGTAGCAAGCCGAGCAGCACCGGTTAGGGATGTTGGTTTAAAGCGCACGAACTATAATTGAGCACAGATTTTTGTTTTCTAGAATATCATATAAAGGGAAACGGTTATGGTAAAATTGAGATGGGAGACGAAATTATCTACAGATGTCTTATGTGTATTACAGATTATCAAACAATCACCATTGATTCCCATGACAACAAGAAGAAGGTACGAGTATAGAAGTGGCAAACGACGCTTGAGTTACCCCTGAAAAGAACTGTATTGTTCCTTAAGTGAAACAAAATACATATATATTTTAGCATATGAGAATTTGGTCGTGAGATTTGGCCGCCGCCATGTTTCCCATGCCGGCTCTCATTATACATATGCAAGGTTCATCGCTAAAAGCTGCTATGTGGTGTTACCGGTATAGAAGGGGTACGTTGTAAAAGTCGTCCAGTGCATGGACGTGAATTTAGAAAAAATGTTCACGATCTCGTTGTGTTTTTATGTAAATTTATCGGTTCGCCCTATGGCGATGTTTTCTTTAGCCCGCCCCCGCCGTATAACAGCTCTAAAAGAGGTAAACAATGTCAATTTATCGGAAAACTAACTCCAATAGTAGTTCCCCTGGGCGAACAGATTACATCTACAATTGCGAATACGTTAAACAGCTACACTTAATAGATGGATGTAGTAATCTTCCAGCGCAGATCCAGCTGTATCGATCACGGCCAGTGCATGAATTAGCGAGCATTCGTATTTCGTGCGTTGAGCCTTGAGTTCATTGTCTAGAACCTGTACGTCCTGAAATGATCGACTGAAAAAGTCGAGTGGGGTCCGCGGTCACATTCATACGGCACACTCATCTGACCTCCCAAAAGGCGTCCGCCTCCCTCGCAACGTCACCCGGCGAAGTCAAACAGGCAGTGACTAGTGGTTTAAGCCTTAATCTTACTTCTAATTTTTCAATATGATGTAACCACGTGTGCGGCTCGAACGCAAGGTTCGCATCTACTGCCTTACGATTACTGGTGCATCTTGCTGTATAGCTACCAATGTACATCGGGCCGTAGCTTAAAAATGAAATCTGCGACCTATAATCACTCAAGGGAGCGGAAATCAGTGCTAGATGACCTTAGTACTATGCAACCTATATTAGAGTTAAAGGTCGGCTTTGGTCCGGTAGTTTTCGATTAGGCAACCCTATAGCTTCATAAATCATTGCAAGAGACAACTCGTATCTATTCCTGTATGCTGCTAATTGTAAAAGCTGGTATAAAACCAGGAAACATGCTTTTCGGAGAATTTTGGAAGGAAGTGCAACATTTCACTAGCTTTGCTGGCACATGCATGCAGGTGCTTCGACTGCGTAAACCTGTCACAGACGACCGTTACTTTGAGCGTAAGTATTCGTTTAATTTGAGCCAACAAGCCTATCAGTGCTATTTAATAACTTCTAAGGTTCTTTGGTTGGTTAGGAAAGGTATAAACAGCGTGCGATGGGGGCACGTACACAGTAAAAAAATCTAATGACCTTACAGAGAAAATCATTTTACGTTACAAACAATTATTTTTTAAACATGATTGTAAAAATATTGGATTGTCAGAAAACTGCTGATGGTATTTCTAGCTAAGCGGCTTTAAAGTCACCTATCTCAGGTTATGTGAGCGGCATCGAGTTGCTGCTGGTGTCGTTTAAAAGTCAAATATGGACAGCAGTAAACGTTCTAAAATTGTTGAAAAGCCTTTATTCAGATTAAAAATGACGCATTTTAAAGGTGAGTACAGTTTCTTCAAAAAGTCATTATAGTTTGCAGTGTCTTAGAATAAGGATACAGCACACAAGGAAGCCCATAAAAATGTGATATTTATGATCAGTAGCTGAGTTATCGAGCGGCAAGGCTCAAAAATGGTTATCGCTTTTGTTCTGGAAATTTCGATGCGAAGTACACTCCTCGTAGCGATAAAAAAATTAATGAAATTGAAAAATCGACCGAAACCATCATAACAATGCCAGACTTTCGTCTTACGTTTAGCTACTCCGGAAAAATGGAGCTAACTTGCATTGGAAATTTTAGTGCATTCACCATTTGAAACGAAACCTACACCATCAGACTATAACCTGTTTCGGTCCCTGCAAAATTCCAATTGTCTAGGGAAAGAAAAATCTGTTTCCCTCCCAGAAACCACATTTGCACAGTGGTAGGATTATGGTGTTAAAAAATTATAGGAAAAATTGACTTAAGTCGCGCATATGTAGTTTACTAATATTATTGTGAAAAGAAAGAAATATTGGCTTTAATGCTAGCCTGAGAACTGATTTTTTGACTGTCAGCGTTCTCTTAGATATTTGAAATTCAGATCAACTGTCGTCTCTCGGATACTTTAAATGGTGCCCATGAAAAACATTATGCTGATTGATATTAGTACTCATAATCACTCTTACTACCAATAAGTATAAACAACTTTAGACATGTACTTCACTATTAAAAAAACTGTTGCTATGTTCTCACTAGAAGAGACAACCTTAATGCAGGCGTAATTTATGAAACGAATAGCGAATGATTAGAGATATGAGATACGAAATAAAAAAATTCTACTAAATCAGAAAACCTTCGACCCGTCGCCATATCCAGCGCCCCTTAAGATGAACGTCATTTTTTCAACGTTTGGCGTGAGTTCACATGCGTCCCTATTTTGATTCTAGTTGAGCAACGCTTTTACAATCTTTTCGCATTCCATTACGGACCGTTACGGTACATCACGGAACGTTCCAACCTTTTCCCACCAGATGAACACGCGTCCCGTTGCTTACTCGTTCAGGCTAGATCTACGCGAGCAGAATACTATGGGTAAAACAGGACATCATTCCATGATCTCCCGTGATCTTCACTTCGACGACGGTTCGTCGAATTGGCACTTTCGGTACGGACATATTGAAACCGCCTATCACGGGTTCGTCTTTGTTGATCGGGCATCGTACTGCCGCTTTGCAGAGATCTGGTTCAATTCCAGGAATACGGATAGTGAAACCCATTATGCTCACGTAAGCGTCGACCCTGAACGTGGTACTGGTCATGTCGGGAACAAATACGAAATCGAATGTCGTCACTCCGCCCTTCTTAATCTCGCAGGGGTCTGAATGACATGGCGTCGCAGTCAACATCCTTAGCTTGCCCTTTCCAGGGTTGGCGCAGGGAGTTGTTCGTACTTCATTTTGTGCTGTGGTGATTGCGGCCATCAAGACAATGGAAAATACGGCGAAACGAAACATCAGTTTAATGATGCACATTTCTACCAAGCACAACAGCAACGATAAGAACAATTTGCTTGTCGAGACTCAATAAGGCACAGCAGCAGGACTTTGTTGTTGCCTGTAGCTGATTGAAGCATACAGAATAGAAAAACATAAAAAATATTAGGTGTACTTAATCCTGGGATACGAACGGATTTTGGGTTAGCTGACTCATAAATTCCACTGTCAAATGACTATATTCAATGTATAGGTTACATGTTAAACGCTAAAAGCCAGGAGACAGTCCTTAGAAATCGGTAGCAGCTAAGCCGTCTTCCAATAAAAGCGTCGAACAGGTTGAAATTAGACAAAACGAATGCTCAGGGAACAACTACGCTTCGATACTATCGGTTACAAGTCAACGCAGCTAGTATAGCGGGATGTTGTCAGCATTTCAAGTCGAATTTAAATGGAAAGGTTGGTCGGGCAAAAAAAAAGTGTCACAAACACAAATGGTTGAAGCACTCGACATATTGAGGAATTTTACACAATTACTGAATAGGTGAAGCAAAAAAAAAGGAGACCAACACATTGAATACAATTTAATCAATCGCAAAATAGGTATGATTCAGCGCAGTGTGAAGAGGTCTAAGCCTTCTAAGTCTTCTAAGCCCATAAATATCGTTTGATACTGTTTTCTTCAGGTTTTAGGTATAAGGTTCGTTACCAACAAATATTCACGTTTCGAAGGGGTTATCGTATGTGCATGATGCCTCTATTCGAATAGTGGTATAGTGAAGCGAAGTTTTTTTAATCAAAGTTTTAAAACGTCGTTCTATGGAGATTTTTGTGACGAGCTTTGTGGAATCGTTAAGCTTCTCCACACTTTGTATTCGAGAAATACCCGTCGTAAATGGGGCACAGGGTACCAAGTTTTTGTACTTCTATAACAATAAGCTATAACAAATGAATTGGGTAGTACTGTACAATCGATGCGACATGTTGTTGGGCCGCTAGTATTCAACGAACCCTTCTATAAACCTTATAAATTTCTAACAAGGCAAGGCCAATTACTAGTATTGTAGGATATAAAGTTGCTTTTGTTATTTATCCACATTATCATTAACCGGGTTTCCGGCAGTGACCTTTCCTCTCTTTTCCGCCGTCGATGTATAAAATATGTGATAATATATATGTAGAAAATTATACTTTATCGAAAGCACTAATTGTAGGCCAATAAAATGCTATTATGCAGCCACGATATTTTTGCTTAATAGAAGAGAAGACCTGCATTTAAACTTAAGGTCGGTAATTATCAGCCACTGTGACAAAGCGTAGGCTCCACCACGCGGTAAGGGTTAAATTTGCACGACTTTTACTTAGTCAACCAATTTTATATGATTTTAAAAATCAGTAATCAGCAGGATTGGGTTTTTGGGTATTTACGTTGTAGCTGCTTAACGAAAATACTGGCATGTCAACCAGAGCCTATTTTTCTTACACATTTTCAGGTTTAGCCATATGAGTATATTTACAGATATCTAAGAATTACGCACATAAATAGGCACACGCAAACAACTTTATGAATAAAATAAAAGAAATTGTTGGTATTATAATCAGTTTTACCACTATCCTACATTTACAAATGCAGGAACTTGTAGAAATACATTAATCTCACCCTATCAAATGCTTACTTGGCACATTTCACGAAATACATTTTTATTTCCATACCATTCACTCTCCGGTATCACCCCCAAAAGTCGAATCGATTTTTATTGATTAAAATAAAACAAGAGTATTCTCGAGTTCGGTGCTCGTTTCCATATCTCGGATACCTTTACTATACGTGGAATAGATACGGCGATCCGACTGCCCACACCTTGGTGCACACACGCTAAGCATCCGATATTCGTGTGTACGATGGAAGTCTTTTGAAAGGCAACAAAAGCGACTGGTAGGGTTAAGAAGCTCAAAGATGTTTATATGTGTTGGATACTTGTCATAGATTTTCTGGGTCGAATGCTATTTGCTATGATTAACTAAGCATTATTAGAACTAACGGAAACGTAAAAAATGACGTCAGAGACAATACGCTACTAAAACTCGATAATAATAATATGAGTATCTATATTAGTAAATATACTAGGAGTTAATCGTGGTCCTGTTTTAGGTAACAGTGAAAACGTATTTCTTTCTCCGTAGCGTCACTACACCAGAAGGTAACGATAATAGTTATGCTTTCAAGCGCATATTTTACGTAGAACCCTAAGCAAAACGATAAAATCCACTATTACTAGATATTTTCAAATGTGTTAAATAACGTACTAAAGTGTAACTTTCCGGCTACTTCTATACAAAGCGCCAATGTTGTGTCTCATGGTGGTCCAATACACAGCTTTAATTTGGGCTTGCTAGTTCTGTCTTCCTAGCTTTGACAGTGAATTCTCTTCTGGAGACGAACTAGAGTTGAGCAGATCATTACAAGCAGGGAGTGGCTAGAAGGCTCGTTATTTTGTTGAAAAGGACCAGCTCCCGGAGCGATGGGCACACATCTTCGTCATTTGTTGCTTGGCCGACTAAAGAAGGCTAAAAGACGAGTCCGCCAGAAACGTTAGGGTTTTGTTGAATGAAAAAGAAAGACCCTTGAGAAAGCAATGAAAAGCGATGCAGTACGCTCTTCGCATCGAAACTCAAAAGGATGGTTGTCTGACATATTTTAAAAGTTTGGGCAACCTATGGTGTAACTATCTATTTTGAATTTTTTGATTCGGTGACGTTTGAGCAGTGCGCACCTCCGTAATCCACAACATCCAGGCGGAAACGAAGCTAAATTCTTGCAATGAGGTTCATTACTCTTTATTTGTCATATTCGTGCATAAAATTACGTTGTTTCATGACTTTTAATTTTATATTAATAACACTGTTTCAAGTAACGTACCTAGAAAATTAATTTTTTTCTACCCAATGTTGTTTTACAAAACACAGTTAGAATGGTGTTTTGTAACGTCCACTAAGAACTTGTATAGAAAATAGCGGTAATTGTTTGGAATATACTGTACGTGGATCATTCGACGCGCGATTCCGGTACTGCTACAGGATATGGGTCAAACTTCGGTTTGCTATAAAAGCGTAGAAAAAGTTAGTCCGCTCAGAAAGTTCCGGTCTGCGTGAGCAGTGAATATATAGTATATAATTAAAAATTAAAATTGAATAGATAGTTGACAATCTGATATGATTGGCACAAATCTGCAATATCCAACATTATCTCTTAGACACGTCTAGGATTAATAAGGGCTTTAGAAATTCCGACTCGAGTACATATTGTATAAGCACATGGAAATATACTATCTAATCAAACGGTGATTTAAGACGAAGGTTAAATGGTTTCTAAACAAAACCAATGAATACTAAAGAGGATATTTGGCTGCAAATAATGTCTTTGGCTTACAATGTAAGATGAAAAAGTATGGCTCGCATGCCTCTATCATTTTTAACAGGCCTTAAGCAAAAAATGTATTCATTCATTCGCAGGTTTTCATGACAAACTATTATATTGTTGCCCGTTTTTAATAACAATAAAAAACTTTCCCGCCAAACAGAAGCAATTATTTTACTCGGCTGGGATCGACGATACGCTGAGCCAGCACAGTATAATCTAATTAATTTTCTTTGCAGGACTACACAGCAGGTTAGCGTGACCCCGTGTAAGCCATGCATGCAGTATTCCCAAAAGGTTAACCTCTTTTGGGAACAAGCTGTGCAGAACTTCACCCAGAAAACGTTTTATATTTTAAATATATTGGACTGGGCATTGTAAGACAAACATTGTTTTGTCATCGTGTTCAATGTACGGTTAAAGTGAGATTAGAAGATATATCCTAGAGCTTCATTTGTGTCAACTTATTCAGAATTTATGTATACTTTATATATATCAAGGCGGGCTGGGTTATCTTTGCTGGCACGTCATTGCTATTTATATAGTTATAATCGCGTATATATTAATTAAGTTATATTGTAATGCTTGTACCATTCGAACTTGGCCATGCTTACCCGACGGGACGTCCTCATCCCGCGGCTGGTGTTTCCTAGCGCTTAATGGGTTTTACTTCATATCGCGATGTCCAGAATTCCTCGTGATCTCTTCCTGTGTCGGGTAGGACTCCGTTGTTTCCGAAACGGATTGCAGAACTTCCGGTTCCCGCCGCCATCGGGGCGCCTCGCACGAGCCCTTGGCAACAGGCCCACGTAACTAGATTTTTCGTCCTCTCGAGGCACGACCTGTTGTCATGGCAATACTCGTTTTGACCGCGATAATGCGCTATGCCCAATAAGATCCCGCGATCCTCAGATCCTTATCAAACTAGATAAATAGGGGGGCACGTACCTTACCGGCTTTTTCACACAAGCCGGCACAAATCGTATCCGCATGTGTACTCATTTGCTGTAGTCCATTTCCTCTTTCGCAGAGTAGCACGTCGTCAGTGGGTATAAAATTTTGTCTACATCTGGGTGACGTCGACTGGGTGATGGCAGGTTAGAAACACCGCAGCCTTTATTAAATCAAAACCGGATTCTGGCGGATCTGGTTGTGTTTTCTTCAGACGTACCTAGGGTGCTCTCGTTGAGAACAAATTCATGCAATTTTAGTTCTTCCTGCCACGCCCGTGTTACCGTCGCTCACCGAGAACTGTCTGGTTGATACGCCATGATCTGTTTACTGAAGGTGATATTTTTGGTGGCGAGCAGATGGCTTGGCGAATCCGAGTTGCCGTACACATGTATTCATTCACTAAATCATATTGTAATGCTTGTATCACTACATGCTATATATATATATATATCTTTTCATCATATATTTGTGTACAATTCAAGTTTGTTCGTTGTTTATTCCCCTTCTATATATGTGTCATAAAGAACCTTATCTCTAGGCAATCTTTGTAGTAGCAGCTTCCCTCCCAGTGCACGGATTGAGGTATACCCCATGTTTATTTGTGTCAGTTTTTCAC